ATTATTAGTGGCTGCTTTTTCGCTACGACATTTTTAGAGAGTAAGTAATATAGTAATTTCTTCGCCACAGGACATCTTGCAGAATAATAGTGATTTAAATAGAGAACATAATGGCAACAAAATTAATAAATTCTGAAAATACTTTCAACATACAACCCGAAAAAATATTAGAAATACATAAATCATCCTGTTGCGGCCTAAACATTATAAATGCTTCACAAGCTAGGGATACCACACTTAATGATATTTGCAACAAACTATTTCAGAAGTCAGACCAAGGAATTAGTAGTTACCTTCAGAATCCAGAAAAGGGATGAGGAATCCGAGAAAGAAATATATTAATTATATATTTACAAAAACGAAATAAAAAAATTACCTAAAACAGCAATTTATCTTTAAAAAATATTTAACAATTTATGTTATTTGATGTAAAGATATACAAATTGTATGTCCAATAACTATGTTCCATGTGTCCAATTATTATATAAAATGTCCAACTCGGTCCAATTACTACACTTTTTTGCATGTTTTTATAAAACTATTATTAAAAATTCAAATATTCTTATTTTGAAGTAAACGTAAATTAAGTTTAAACAAACAAACTATCCTTTTTATATATTTATAAAAAAAAATCTTTAAATCTTCAAAAGTTGCGTAATTACATGCCTTTTAATATGGCATAGAAGATTGCAAAAAAAATCAGTACCTACAAAAAAACTGAAAATCGGTTTACATTAAAACATACACAATTACCTACATACATTTTGATTCAATTTGTGTATTTTTACGCCAACTAGATTTTGGGATACGGCCACTATCTTTTTTTTCCTATGGGCGCTACATTCTACAAATCTTTGATGTTTTTTCAATTTTTTTATGCAAAAATTCAATATGGAGAAAAAACAAAAGATAGTGGCCGTATCTCATGTTCTCGTATTTCCTGTCACTATAACTTAAACTTTTAAAACCAAATGCAGAACAAACCACCATTGTATTTTATTATTGAAACCGACATATTTAATTCCTTTCCAAGCAAAAACACACAAAACAAACTTAAGTTGAAGTGTTTTTAGTAAAACGTGTAAAATTGTTTTTTGGAATAACATTCTGTCAAACTTTATCAAAATGGTGTCTGCTAACAGCATTTTCTATTATGTAAAGATTGTTTTTCTTTTTAAATTTTTACTTGTAAATTTCCATAATTTTTAACAACAATAAATTTAATAATTTTTGCTTCATATTTTTTTGTTATTATTTTTTATTTCGTATGTGTTTTTTTATGGTGTGTATAAATTTCTATTCTTTTTTACTTAAAAAATATGATTTTTTTAACTCAAGCCTAGTTTATTTTTGTTGTGATTATGTTGTCTGTTCATTTTATTTTGTTTGTTATTTTTTTTTATATTTTGTTATAAAACAACTTGTTACGTATGTATAAATACATAAAAAATAATTATTTTAATACATTGACAAGCATTATTTATGTTTTATACGTTTACATTACAAAAAACTCAACTTTTCCATCTTTTCCAACTTTTCCGAACTTTTCCGAAAAATAAAACCCAACTTTTCAAAAATTTCAACTTTTCATGAAAAGTTGCAACCCTAATTACGTGTCCATTACTTTAATATGTCTATGATGGAAACGAAACTCAGAATTTCTTTATACATTTGTATTTAAAAGGTTTTTCGGTAATAGAAAGATAAAATCCAAAGAAAAAGCATTGATTTTGACGGAATAGTAACTTAAGTCGTTGTAAATGATTTTACCTAGTCATTACAGCCGGCTTCCAAATAAAAGCGTTTACACGTAATTGCATATACGTTTAATAATTATAATTGAACAGGTTATATGTATGCGCGTATACACAATAACTCTTGCTGTAGTTTATTTATGTATCTACCCATCTCATCTCTAGCCATCAAAAAAGTTATGACTGCTCTAATGGCTTAAATAATCACCTTCGGTTTTGCTTCTTTATTATCAGCTTTAAATTTCTCTTTATTTCTTTCGTGTTAAATTCTCTGAACGGTATTTAATTTTTTTATATTTTTATAACCTAAAAGTCTACTATCGTACCTACCTATTTTAAACAAAAATATACTGTGGAAAGTTTGGACAAAATTTCGTAAACAATAAATGTGCGTTATCCCCTACAATTTATGTCCTTGGTATATTTTCAGGTTTTTTCAAATGTTTTTTTTTCTTCATATTTTAGGTTTTTTTCATGTAGAGTATGAAATGCTTTTCTTTCAAAAAAAAAACAATAGCAAATTCTTGTAGAACTTTTATTCATTGGTGGTTAAGTCAGAACATTCCGTGGATCAAAACAGAAAGCCAAAAAAATTTTGAATTTTTTTATTACGGTATTCGTTAGGATTGAGATATTTTCATCTAAAAATCTCAAAACTAGAAACTTTAAGCTTTAAATTGCTTTTTTAAGGGTCCAATACGACCATTTTTAACGAAGATACAGCTATCCGAAAAATCGCAAAAAATTTGTTATTCTTTTATCCTTTAATTTTTTCTATTAGTGTAGAAGTTTTATATTGCTATTGGTTTCTTATGTGGAAACTACCAAATAATAAGAAATTAGATTTTTTAGTCTCGGTCAAATAATGAAAAGTGTAATATATTCTACATTTCACTTTATTATTAATATACATTTTACTCAAAACTTCATTTTGAAAAATTACTCCATTTTTTAAGATTGATGTTATTATAGACAGAATATGCCTTATTGCAGTGGATTTCTTTTCATGTTTTTTTCACTTCTGAAAAAAAACCGTATTTACATCTCTATTGAGATCTAGTCCTTGGCTTTAAGATGAAAACGTTTTTTTCTAGGTTTCTTTTCATGTTTTTTTCACATCTGAAAAAAAAACCGTTTTTTTACATCTCTATTGAGATCTAGTCCTTGGCTTTAAGATGAAATATTTAAAAGTAGTTGGCGGTGGTTTTTTACCCTATTTTTTTAACGCAGCAGTGTAATTAAACAGTCTGTTTGTTTCGAAAAAAACTACAAAATTAATATCAATTTTTTTTTCCTACGATAGACCGTTATAGCTAAAGAAGCATCGGGTTTTCGCAATGCGCGCGCCATCTGGTGGTTTAAAATCTTACTCGACAAATTTTGTTCGCAAAGTTTCAATTGCACAGCTGTTATTTGTGTTTTGCGTTGCAAGTAAAAACTAAAAAAACTTTGGTTTAGTAGCCGATTTCGATTAATAATTTCTTACATCATGGATTACGTTAGTGTGATCATGGTAAATTATTGTGTTTTTATGTAAATAAAAATCAAGAACTTGGACGTTTTTAAAAAATCTAACCAAAAATAATTGTTGTACAAACAACATTGACAACAAAATATTATATAAAATACACATATAAATATACAATTATTATTTCTTTGGAACCACCCATATTATGTTATTTCAAAACAATATTAAATAACTAAATCATGAATCAATAAAATATGCATAACTACATACATAGGTAGATAACAATCCAATAAACATCAAACAACAAAAATGCATTCCATAGGAATATTGCTTAAAAAATGTTAATTTAAAGACGATTTTAAAATTCCAAGTAAAAGTTATAAATAGTTAAGCAGCCTTATTGTATTGATTTCATATAAAATTTTTATTAGAAACATCACATTCGTTAATATGGAAAATATTGTTTGAAATTTACGGCCGTAAAAAATTGTTTTCAGTGTATAATAAAATACCTGTGCATGCAAATTTATTTCGAGAGAATGTTAATTGAATTTGAAGTTTTAACATATCTATTATACAGGGTGTTTCACGTTCGTGGTCCATTAAAAAGTTCTGGGGAACGGCAAAAGATCGATTTGAATTTTTTAAAGCGCTTGTAAGCCAATAAAGCCTTTTTAAAATATTTTAAACAAAATGCCACTTCCGGTTTGACCACCTCCATATCCGCAAACATAATAACGACAAAGTTATAGGATTTTTTTGATTGACATGCATTAGTCAAATTTTAAGAAAAAAAACTACCTATAACTCGAAAACTATTCACTTTAGTTATATGACATGGTTTAGTCATTGTATTCAAAATTTGATGTAGAATTTAAAAATGTCAAAATATATAGTGTGTTTTATTTAAAATATTCCAGTTAAACCGAAAATGGCATTTTGTTCAAAATATTTTAAAAGAATAAATGGATTATAAACGCTTTTAAAATTTCAAATCGATATATTTTTCTGTTCCCCAGAAACATCTAATGGACCATGATTATGAAACACCCTGTATAAGTATTTAAAAACCAACTGCATGATAGGCATTTGATAAATTTAAAATTGAAGTTTTTGGCAGAAAAACAATCAGAATAGTGCTAAAAATGTCTGACATCAACTTCCATCCAAGAATACGTTGTCGCAACTCTTGTAGAAAAGTCTAGGGGAGTCAAATCTGGAAATTTGGCCGGCCAAGACCCTTCGTCCACTCGACTGTTCAGAAAAAAACTCGTTACATCAATAATACTCTATACAGGGTAAGTTTTTTAAAGTGTTACAAGGCAATATCTTGAAAACTGTTCAATATTTTTTTGTGAAATTTTAATGAAGTAATGGAGACACGGGGGACTTATTAAGACATTTTTTTGAAATTTCACAAAAAAATATTGAACTTTTTTCAAGATATTTCCTTGTAACACTTTAAAAAACTCACCCTGTACACATACCTACATTGTGTCTACGCATTGTGTTTAATGATGATAAAATTTAAATGGGAAGCCAACTGAAATTTGCAAGATAAAATTGAATCAATACCAATGCAAATTAACAACCAACATTTATATTTTTCATTACAAAAAAACTTTAGAACATTTGTCTCAACACTGCACATCTACATTTTGCGTTGAACAGAGATATTTAACGTTAAAAACGTTAGTTAAACTCAATTTTTATTGTTCGATTTTCCAAGGTTTTGGTTTCATTGTTGTGCCAGATGATTACGTTTGCTTTCGGTGTATTTACCTGCCCAAAAGTGCTTTGACATTATTTGGTAACTATTGTAAAGTTTATGCGGTAAAACCGAGTATATTTACGAAGTTGACTCAATTGGGACTGCCGAGAAAAAGTTTTATAACAAGTTTTATCGTCGGCTTTCATTTGCACATTTGTGATTCTACCTTAGATTTGTCTATCTATAATAGGTTGATTCATTTCCGCAAAGTTTTTGTTTTTTTTCGGTGCTCAAGCAAAATATTAATCTGCATATAGGAAAAAACATTCTCACCAAGTTTGAGCTACTTTTTAAATTTAAAGTTTTACCGTTTAAAATGCATGTAAAAAATATATATTTTTTTCAAATTTCTAATGCTTACCCACCTTTGACAATATTGCAAATTGGTTTAATACACCTTATGGGGAATTTCACGCTCTTTAAAATTGCTTTTGAGTTTTTTTTTGTAACTCGCATTGGTTCACCAGTAGGAGTCGTCAAAGGACAGTTTTATTTTTTTGAGCAAATCGCCAAAAGTAGTGAGAAAAAAGGGCTGATTCATAAAAAAAAAGTTATCCAACCAATATTTAATGAATTTACTGCCATTTTTATAACTGAAAACGTAAGAAATTAATAAATACCAACCCATAATGTTATTTAGATTGATTTTTTCTATTTATTATCATTATATTTCCCTACACTAAGAACTTTTTTAAAATTATTATGATTTCTCACTCATAATGAATATGAAAACAACACATAAATTCATAAAAAAACAACAAAACTTTAATTGGAATATACAGAAGGTTATGTAACATATTTCAAATTTCGCTTCAAAAAATTAAATAATCTTCATTTATATTTTTTGCTATATGACAGAAATGTTGAAAAATTGCAAAATCCACGTTACAATTTTCTTATTGTTTTTTTATGAATTTATCTGTTGTTTTCATATTCATTATAAGTGAGAAATCAATAATTTTAAAAAACTTCTTAGTGTAGGGAAATATAATGATAATAAATAGAAAAAATCTATCTAAATAACATTATGAGTTGGTAATTATCAATTTCTTACGTTTTCAGTTATAAAAATGGCTGTAAATTCATTAAATATTGGTTGGATAACTTTTTTTTATGATTCAGCCCTTTTTTATCCCTACTTATTGCGGTTTGTTAAAAAAAATTAAAAAAAAACGATTTTTTTCAAAAACTGTCCTTTGACGACTCCTACTGGTGAACCAATGCGAGTTACAAAAAAAAACTCAAAAGCAATTTTAAAGAGCGTGAAATTCCCCATAAGGTGTATTAAACCGATTTGCAATATTGTCAAAGGTGGGTAAGCATTAGAAATTTGAAAAAATATATAATGAATCACCCTAATCTATAACCTGTCGTAAACATTGAAGTGATGTTGATAAACAATAAAACGATTTACCTGGTGGACAAATACATTCGGGCGCTTCCCTCGTAGCCCTAATGGAATCATCCTCATCATAAGAATCGGACCTGGAGTACAAATCCCTGACAATTCTCTTCTTCAAGTGGGTTAGAGATTCCGTGCGGATGCGCTCCATTAACACGTCCACATTTCCGACAGTGATTGTTTGGAGGTCTCGGACTTTTCTTTCCAGAAAGTCCACCCTGTCGCGGAGACTATTTTCCCGCCACCCGTTGTAAACACTCGTGAACGCACACACCAAACACACCACACAAAACACCAAGTTAATTCCGCCGAAACTCGCTTTTCCCGAAGGCTTGTCCAAACGCATCTTCAGATTGGTTGCCGAAACCAAGGCATCTTGATCCATGTCGACCAGAAACAGTTGCACATCACTTATCCATTTGGGTGTCGCAGCAGCGCGTTTACTTGGCAATGGGCACGCGTGTTGTTTCGGTGAAGTGCGACGGAGAGAGTTCTCTTCTGCACGGCATTCGCGGACAAACTGACTGAAGTTGCCACGGCACGCTGTAACTTTTCGACGGTCGGGGATGAATCAGGTTTTGCGTGCGCGTCGGGCCCTTCCGGCGCCGTTCGGGCGATAGAGTCGTTTTGTTTTTCGGTGCAAGTGTTTTTGTATATTTTTCGACATTTTATATAAAATTTATAGAATAACTTATCATCTTGGCCCAATAACGGATTTCCTAAAAATGACAAAAAATCGTTTTTTATAAAAAATTATTCTTTTAATAGTTTTAAAGTTAGTTATAATGTTTATAAATGCATTTTTGAAAGAGGATATGGGTGAATTACTCTTTCTAGGTTAACCTATATGTTTTCAAATATCTGAGGTAGTAAAAGCATACTAAAAATATGAGTTCACTAAGTAAATTAAACACATCCAAAGCAATCAAATCAAATATAAAATATTATTAAAAATTAAAAAAAATAATTTTTATAACCATTTATGTAGATGTTACAAAAATTGATTCTATCCTCCGTGAATCTGTTTTTGCTTTAAATGTTATGCAACGACATTATAGATGCATGTGATTCCTGAAGGTCAGTTAGAATTTATATGCAGATGAGAGTGTTGCTGTTTTATAATTGAAAAGTTTAAGTTCATTAGTTTGCTATTTAAAAACCTATCCACCGTGAAGTGTAATATCTCAGTAAGTAGATTTTTTTATAAATATTTTATGTATGTGCAATTGTATTTTTTTTTAATATTAAGGTGTCAAAAGATACACAATAAAAAAAGTAGTGAAGATATTTAACTCTAGTAAACTCTAAAAACATTCTATATGCGACGACTTTTTTTAGAGTTATACATATATTCACACTGATGATAGTGTAATAATTTATATTTCTAGGGTAAATATTATAACGGTATTTAGTGTTACATTTAATTTACTAGTGCATAAATTTAACACTAAGGTGTGTTAAGGGTACTCTGGGTAGTGACCCGGGAAAAATAGTTTTGTTAATTAGAGTATTATTTTACACTATTTTTATAACATTTAGACTCTTATTAATGAGTTATTTAATCTTTTAGAGTAAACAAACTACTCTATTTTTAGTTAATATGCATACCTTTTTTACTCTGATTAGTAAACTTTACATTCAAATCGAGTAAAAATTACTCTATCCTTAGTTGCTATAAAGAGACGAAAATTAAAAACATATATTGAAATTCAAAAGTATATTTTGTGAAAAATAACAAAAATAAAAAAATCATATAACTAATGTTAACATAAAAATAAAAACAATGTATAATTAAAATATTTAAATTAACTCGAACAAATGTTTCTTTTAAATCAATGCATCCATTTTGAATGGGATTTGTATATAATTGGCTCGTTTCTGTTATTATCGGTTTTTAGACATAATGCCTAATCACATTTCAAGTTTTTACAATAAAATATCTTTAATATAAATAATAAGAAATAATGTACCTATTTTATACGTATTATGCAGCGGCACCCACGCACAAGCGAACCATTAAACAGCCCTTGGAAACAGCACTAAACTAGTTTAGTGCAATAATAACAAATAATAACCCTAATAGTGTAGATTTAACTCTTTTTAGTGTAAAATTATACTCGCTTACTGTTTACTTTACTCTAATCCAAAACAATAATACACTAGCAAGAGGAAAACTAGGGAAATTTTAACGCAAATAGCGGTTGTAAAATTCTAATTTATAGTGTAAATGTGGAACCTTTTACAAAGTCTAAATTAACACTAATGCGATTGTATTAGACATTCGAGTAAAAAATATAATATTTTTAGAGTTACGATATTATTACACTGTCAAATAATGTAATATAGAGTTATGTAGAGTAATATTAAGCTATAGCTTAATATTACTCTAATTATTTAACTCTATATATAGAGTTAAATAATTGGTGCATTTTACACTGAATATCAACACTAAAATATTTACCAACTACACCAGCTACTTTACTCGATCCATATTTTTTACTGTGTACAATAACTTATTTCAAATATACAAAGGGATGTTTTATAAAACCTCCTGTATGATTTCTTAAAATTCTTAAATTAGTGCAGAACCACTTATGTTATGTTATTACTAGACCTGGTGGCTTCCCAAAAACCCCATATTCTAGACTAACAGTGAAAAAATAAAAAATAATTATTTTCACTTGGGGGACATCTCAATAATATTATATTATATTATATTATATTCAATATATGGGTATATATATGGCATATATATATACCCATATATACTCACCCATATATATACAGTGCTTGCAAATGCAAGTCCGACCGCACTGGAAAGGACGGCTGTTCAATACCCGCGTGAAAAGAACAAGGATAGAACGCCAAATAGAATTTGATTGGCCAGAGCCCCGGATGCGTGCGAATTGTAAGCGAGGTCAACTCTGGGCCAGAGTCTCTGGCTGCATTTAGACTAATGATTTAGTGTTAAGCAAACTGCGTTGGAGTGGAGATGCACATTTTAATTTTCTTTTTAAATATTTTATACCCGAATCCTAAAAATAAAATGTTTTGATTTTTTTCCTTGAGAACTAGGGCAACAACAAAAATAGTATTCTTAATAAAAAAGATTTCTCAAATAAAAATAACTAAAAATAAAAATAAAACTCTAAATAAAAATATAGACCAGTGCAGAAGCCTTTAAAAATAGTAAAAAGAGAAAAAAAATAACAGTAGGATGAAACCCATTGGAAAAGGAGGGGAATATAATAAAAATTAAAGGAAAAATAAATTACGGGCGATCTGAGTTCGGGAAGTGAGAGGGGGGGGTTTTAAGGGTAAAAAATGGTTTATCTCGATTTCCGGCAAAACTACAAGTCCTATGGAAAAAAGTTAAATGTCAAAGTTGTAGGTAATAAAAAGATCTACAACTTCTGTATTTACAATTTTTTCACATAACCTCAAAATTTATGTGAAAAAATCAAAAAACCAAGTTTTTGGTTTTTTATTTTTATCTTTTTCAAAAAAAAATTTTCTTCCATGAAATTTGGTGAAAACTTACCTTTTTATGTCCCAAATACACTGTAATTTATTTGATTTGAAATATTTATTATTTCGCCTTATTTTGACTTAATATCAAAAAAGCACCCTAATTTTCAATCGAAAATTCTCGCGTGAAAATATCAGCTTTTTTCAAAAAGTCGTTGTGCTTTTTGTTTGATGAACTCTCTACTTTCTGATGGTGTAAAAAAATATACATTACTATGGTAAATGTTCTCAGAAAATGCAAAAATTATTATAATGAATAACGTAATCAGAATGAAGTATCTAAATTCAATAGTATGATTTACATGTATTTTTATATTTTATGAGATTTTCTGACATAAATGTTATAAGAATTTAATAAATAAACTTTTTAACTAAAAAAAATTGCAACCATCACATTTTTTTGATGAAATTGTACATAATGATTAAAATAAATTTTCGAATTCGAGTTTTTTTCGTTATTCATTATAATATTTTTTGCATTTTCTGAGAACATTTACCATAGTAATGTATATTTTTTTACACCATCAGAAAGTAGAGATTTCAACAAACAAAAAGCACACCGACTTTTTGAAAAAAGCTGATATTTTGACGCGAGAATTTTCGATTGAAAATTAGGGTGCTTTTTTGATATTAAGTCAAAATAAGGCGAAATAATAAATATTTCAAATCAAATAAATTAAATTGTATTTGGGACATAAAAAGGTAAGTTTTCACCAAATTTCGTGGAAAAAAAATTTTTTTTTGAAAAAGATAAAAATAAAAAACCAAAAACTTGGTTTTTTGAATTTTTCCCATAAATTTGGAGGTTATGTAAAAAAATTGTAATTACAAAAGTTGTAGATCCTTTTATTACCTACAACTTTGCCATTTAACTTTTTTCCATAGGACTTGTAGTTTTACCGGAAATCGAGATAAACCATTTTTTACCCTTAAAACCCCCCCTCCCACTTCCCAAAGTCAGATCGCCCGTAATTTATTTTTCCTTTTATTTTTATTATATTCTTCTCCTTTTCCAATGGGTTTCATCCTACTTTTATTTTTTTTGGTTTCAAAAATTATCGACCCTGGTCTAATAAAACTCTAAAAATAAATAAACTGAAAAATTAAATTAAATGTTCGAACAAGCAATTATTAACGATTCGTCGAATTGTTTCTCTGTTTGGTCTGGCCTCGAACATTCCCGCAAATAATCTTTGAATTTCTCGTTCAGAATTACCAGCAAAATGCCAGATTAAAATCTGAACTTTTTGTTCCAACGTGTACCTACATTTTTTAATTAAATAATCTTTTTTACTAAAATTACTACCTCTTGGCAAGAGGCTCTTGCTGGCACCACTGCAGTTCTCGTTCTAATATCCTCGTGTCAAGCACGCTGCGAGGTGCGCGATGGGTATGCGTTGTCGTAGCCTGCCGGCTGGCCAATCAAATTCTATTTGGCGTTCTATCCTTGTTCTTTTCACGCGGGTATTGAACAGCCGTCCTTTCCTGTGTGGTCGGACTTGGATTTGCAAGCACTGTATATACCATACATTGTATAATATACATATATGTATATTTTTGAACATTGGACATTTTATATAACATTTATAGAATATTTTATCTTTTTGATTTAATGAAGTAAATAACTAGGTATAAGGATTTTCTAAAAATGACAAAAAATCGTTTCTGTCAAAAGTTATAACTTATATTAATAATAATATTAACTTTTTATTAACAATATAAACATTTTATATAAATGCTATTTTTTTCATAAAATTAGTTTTATTGTTCAAAAATGTATTTTTGTGAGAATATACAAATTCTTCGTCAAAAATTTAAAAAAAAACAAGAAAAAAATAACACTTATTCTTAAAATAA